CCCCAAAACCCCAAAACCCCAAAACCCCAAATTGAGAGTTTAGTAGAATTTTGGTATGATGTTTAAAGTCACAAATATTTAAATTCAGATATAATTAATAATGTACTTAAATATTCAAGAAATTCATTTTCTAGTAAGTCCTCCACTAAGGAGGAGACAAAAATTGATGCTTCTTTAGTTCTTTACTTATCAAGAATTTCTATTTCTCCTCACATAGAAATGTAGCTATGTGATTCAATCAAGAAACCATTGATTAGTAAAGATGAAGACTTAATCTTGATAGATTATTATGGTTGTTGGGTGTAGCATACTAAACTTCACTTACGATCATAAGTTCAGTCTACTCCCTGGAAAAGACGATATAGATATTAAAATACTAATGATTAAAAGTAAATTAATTAATAAATTTTAATGGGTCAAATTTTGAGGACTAATTTCATCATTAAGGATATCATCATATTTAACAGCTATTATTGTATTTAGTTTATTAAATTCTTAGTTAGATTCAAGGTCTGATATTATCCATCACAATAATAATACTCTTGAAAATCATTCTTGATTTCTTATATCGTTCCAATACTTTTTTGGGTAGTATTAGCTGATTGAGCTTGCGGAAGTGGTTCATTGTGCTTTATCCTGACTCACTCCATTTAATCAAGGACTATCTTAATTACAATGACATTTGAATTATTGGTATTGAGTTATTATCCTATGTTAATATACTCTAACAAACTGAGTATCCTACTCCCAACTCTGTACCAGATCATATGGTTTTTAGAATATAGCAGTACCCTTGATAAAAACATCAAACTATAGAACCAGAAGAATAATCCTTCATCATTCTCTATTTTGATTTATTTGCATATACAACCTAAATCCTAAGAGTTGGTATAAAATATTCTCTACTAGTCACAGCACTGAATTCTGTAGGCTTCTAACATTTGAATAAAATTTTTCTGATAAAAACAAGCCACGACCAGAGCCATATGAGATAAACACTTTAACAGTATCAGCCATTTATAATCATCAACCTTCTCATCTATTTTATCTTCAAGCTTATTTAATTTTGCCAAATCTATTAATTACTTTTAGATTACATTTTCAAATATCTAGTTCGTATAATTGTAAGAGATACAATCTCTTTGTCTATATTATTGCATTTTTCATCTATTAAGTAGCATTTATTGCTCATCTTAATAAGATCATCCCTCAATTCTTCTTGAAATCTTTCTATTTATTAACTCTTTTTATAGAGATTTTGGATAAAGTATTCAACATAAGCTCTCTAATTTACAATTTCTCAATTGCACATATACCACTCTGTAAAGTCATTTAGGCTATCTCATCTTTAACTTGTTCAAAAGTCTCTTTATGAGGTAAAGTTTTACCATTAATGTCAAGGTTCCTAAAATTTCAAATGTTATCATCTAATTTCCCTTCACTAATTCCATTTTTATCCTTTGATTACAAGAATAATTAGACATCTAGTGAAAGAAATTCATTTAATTAAGACTGATTATTAGTCTCTGAAATTTTGTTGATCAGGAGAGATTTATTCATGGAAATATTTATTTTTATTGAAGTAATTTATTATTAATCCAAGAAAAAATTAAATAAAATAATCAAGGAAAAGGGGTTTTGGGGTTTTGGGG